AAACTGTTTAAATCAAACTAAAATAATTGAATTTATTTTCCAGCGTATTGCCCTCGGGGATGGAAGCAGCTCGACAGCTTTTGCTATCATGCAAGCAGCTTATCATTGACTTGGCACCAGGCCCAACAATTCTGTCGAAGAATGGGAGGTGACCTGGTAAAGATTACCAGCGCACGGGAAAACGAGTTCGTTCTAGCTCTCGCGAGGAGGTTTGCACCAACAAGGAAACAAGTGTGGATCGGCCTGATGTGGACTGCTTACAACTTCTACTGGAGTGATTACTCATTTCCAGTCTACAAAGCCTGGGCTCCCAAGGAACCCAATGGAAAATCCCGGGAACCCTGCAGCAACATGTGGACTGGGCACACATCTCATCTGCCGTTCAGAGCAAACGGTTACAGGAATGACAGGATTTGTGCGACGCACCCTCATGCACTCTGTGGCCTGGTGTGCAAAAGGCTCGCTTAAGTAGCTTAAGTCGGAATACCAAGACATGAAGCTTACAAAAGCAATTTTGGTGCCGGGACATTTTAATTTCGTATCAAAATAAATCGTATCAAAATAAATCGTATCAAAATATTGATGTAAGGGAATGCTTGTTTCACAATAAACCATAAGAATAAGTGACCTTAAGCGTTTCTTGTTGCTTGTCTGACAGTGTCCCAAGCCCCTTTAAAAAACTCCCGCCATCCTTACTACGTTCAATCCCAGGAGGCCTTATGATACCAGCGCCACTGTAACTTGAACCAGCAGACCTTTCACTGGAATGACCTGCCTTGTGCGGTGCAATCACGGTTTCCCTGTGGCCTGGTGTGCAAAAGGCTCGCTTAAGTGCTAAAGTATGAAAGAAACGAGGCCTCCAAAAGGAATTTTGGTGACGGGACATTTTAATTTCGTATCAAAATAAATTGTAAGGTGTAAGGAAAGGCTTGTTTTAAATTAAAGCGTAAGAAAAGCGACCGAGCGTTTCATGTTTCTTGTCTGACCGTGTCCGAAGCCCCTTTTAAAAAAATCCCGCCATCCTTTGTACATCCCATACCAGCGCCCCTGCAACTTGAGCCTGCAGACCTCTAGCCGGCTAGCTTTGCTTAAGACCTTAAACTTGTTCATAGACGGAGAAACACTGGTTCTGAGGCGCTGGCCACTACAACTTCTGATGATCACGAACGTCTTCAATATATCGTCTGTAAGTCATCCTTGAACAATAAATAGTTTCGGTCGATATCCCGCGATGTAATGGGACTAGCAACAATTAAAAAATGTCAAGGGGTCTGTGCTACTCCTGTCATACGCTAGCCATGTAAAATCTGCTTTCAAAGTTTAGCTCTAACCATGATACATTTAAGGGACTTTCTCTTTGCGTATGGTAGTAGGGATGGCTCCTTAGATATTCCTCTTAAGCACACGGTTGGCTTTGAATAAGGTGTCATTTGGGCATCAGTTTGCTCTTGAGGTTAGGTTAGTCGGATGATCTTGCATTACAAAAGGCAATATTTTCCTCTGTGTACTAATTTCTCTATTTTTAAGTGAACTTCCTCTCCCGGAGAAAATACCTCCACAAGACCTTCATCAGCGTATTCCCTATTCTTTTAGCGTATTTTGAAACTTTCTAGGTCTTTATGTGACAAATTTGTTCTTCGGAGGCGTAGTGCTTTTCCTTTTACGAATATTTTCTTTACTACTGGTGGATGGCACGAATAAAAATTCGTGTGGTCGAAATCGCTGGATATTGCCCGAGTTCTTTGTTTTACGTTGTTATGGACCAAGACGAAGCCGAGGTCCATTACAACGCAAATAAAAGAACAAAGCTAATATCTGGCCATTTTGACCAAACAAGCTTGGTCAAAAAGGATTTATTGTATAGCAAAACTATTTGTTTTGGCAAGAATAACGTGTTTATTTGGAGAGCTGGGAAAGAAAGCCAACTGTGTTTATAGCAGAATATAACCGCGAGAGTTGTTTATGTTTTCTTTTTTTTGACTATCGTCTGTCGCTTTTTGCGTCCCTATCGTCGCCATTGTCCGAAAATTACAAACTTTGTAAAAAGAACGTCCACTCCAGGGAATGTTTCAATTTTTCTCTTGCGCGGATTAAAACACGCAACCCGGGCGGGCAATAGTTTGGAATCTGACTGCGCCTGGAAGTTTTTCTGACGAGTGTGCCTCTCTGGTTGCTAAGGTTATAACAAAATATCTTTCTGTATGAGACTGCCTGTGATATTCAGAGATATCCCGGTCAGCAGAGGCACTTTAAAGGTGCGTCAACTGTGAAACGTTTGCATCAGAAGTGGTGCAATATAGGAAGTGTTCTATATATTTCCATGAGCTCTGTTTCCCAACTCATACCGATTGTGTTATCGAGGGTAACATCAGCTCCTGAAAGAGTTTACCTTTTCACCATTTAAGCCGCTGACAGGAACTGAGATGAAGATTTACACGATTCTTCCGCTTTGTATCGTTGTAATGTTTTCCTCAGGATATGTATCAGGTATACAAACTAACTATTTACCCAATTTTATTACATAGTTGGCAGCACCCGTATGTCATATAAAGCAAATCGTGACTTCTGGTGGCTCCGTGAGTGGGAAAGATGGGGCCCTTCTTGCCTTCTCGGGATTGCAACTGAATTTTGTCGTCTTCTTTCACCTTGCATTGATAACTGGGAACTCCAAGAACTGCCCCGCGTAACCACCACTGTGACTATAGGTTTTTCGGCGGACGCAACTTGGCAGCGGGAATGGATGCTCGTCACGATTTCCTGGTACAAGGAGATCTGCTTCAAGCGAAATTGTACGGACATCAAGGATTAGAGAGCGTTTGGTTCACATTAGTTTATTCTAATCCATGCTTATGAGCGACATGAACAGTAGCGTATTCAAAAGTGTAATTGAAAGAATTTCCAACTAAGACAACGTATACCATAAACGGCAACATGGAAAAATTGTTTGTTTTGTTTTTTTAACTTGTTGATTTGAGTGCATATGATTCTGTGATCTTCGTTTCCCGACTCATACCAGTTGTATCATCGAGGATAACAGCAGCTTTTGGAAGAGTTCGCTTTTTCACCGCAATCGCCGTTGACAGGAACCGAGAAGAAGATTCACGCGATTCTTTCGCTTTGTACCGTTGTACAGTTTGCCTCAGGAAGTGTATCAGGTACACAGCGTTTTTCGGCCGACTGAAAAATGTGTGTGACTTAACCTAAGATTTCATAAGTTCGATATTGATCGTGGCAATGAAACTCGGTGAACTGAAAGCGCCTTTTTTAGTCCTTTAGAGTGTTCTGCCTGAATCGATTCTGAGAAATTAAAGTTCAATCTACGCGTCTCCCTCAGAAAGGGTCCAGCTAGGCTATTATCAACCTCAGCGCCGCACTTTTCGTGAAAATTGCTCATAAATCAGTGGTTTCCTTGGAAGATGGAAGAAGTTCGAAAGCTTTTGCTATTATCACTCGGGGCCCGTACAATCTGTTTGTGTAGCCGACCGTTGTTTTATAGTGAATGTACCAGATTTACCGTTTGCCTCACCTAGAGTGATATATTGCTGACTATGTACATAAATCATTTATAAATAAACGTTGAATTAAGTTACCTGTGGTGCATAGTCGCCCTTGTGCCTCAAAAATGTTTTTTTTTGAGCGATTTTGAATAAGTCTGATTTCGCCGTAAATGTAATGAGACAAGGGTGGAAGCCTTGTTTTGAAAGGGTTCAAGCGCCCGAGCGATTTTGACCCCGAAAATCGCATCGCTCCGCTTTCAAACTTCGTATCATTAAGGTCAAAAGATGCATGATTCTACTCGTACCTTTCAATCGTAAATCCATCCAAACGGACCGGAGCTAGCCCTCGAAGAAAATCACAATCCCACAGTATTTTAGCGTCTGGGATGCGTAGCAAGATTCTCATGTGCCAGCCAGAAACCGTCACGTTTTTTGCCCTTTTCTGATTGGACGACGTTAAACGATGACCAATTCAAAATATCTAACGAGGGTGGGGAACCATTGGCGTTTGGTGACCCTTCAACTGTTTACCCACCAGACTCGGGTCGTGTGTCTTGACGCTCACCGGAAGCAACTTACATTTCCGCCCATTGTTCGCATTCCCGTGGCAAATAACTTTTCCTAAAATCGAATTTTACGCAATTTATGAATCGCAACGTTAAAACACTGAGCAGAAGATTGTATTCACCAAGTTTGAAGAATGTAGGTTGGATACAAGACCCTTAATTGATTTTTCTAATTTTCCATATATTTGTCTGTAAATTTTTTCCGCGCTGCCCCTTCTACCCTGCGAAAATTTCGGTCTGTGCAAAGACCACTTTCATAAATGGCTGCCGGATTAATACTCTTTTGTTTAAATTTAAATTAGCCCTACTGGCCTCGTTCTCCAGTACAAAATTCAAAAGAATACATTATCTCAAGCGAGGCCAGTAGGGCTAATTTAAATTTAAACAAAAGAATATT